AACTAGGTGAATGAGGGAGTTTATTGGGGTCACTTACAGAAGCCATGGTGACTCAAAGGCCACTCTGCATGACCAAAAGCTCATGGGGACAACAAGAAAACTGGAACCCTGGGGCTGTCTCTATAACTTACTGCAACTCCACAGGTTGGGGCATCTCTGTCCTTAGCACTGCTTGCTGCTTGCATAGTCTCGGGAAAGATCAGCCTTGTGAATCCGGTTTCAGGAATTTCCTGAGATTTGTGAGTTGTTTGCGTCCTGAGCGTGAAAAGGTTTTCCTTATTTCATTTTGGAGGAAATTGTTACTCTACACCAAGTCATTCTGATAAGGTCTCAAACTGAAAGGAGGAATGTGGTGTTGGACAAATGGAAGACATCCCTCGTCAAAGCAGGAAAGAACTTGTCTGAATTGTGTTTGTGTGCCAGTGCTTTGAGTAATGAAAACAGGCATTTATCTGGAGTTATTTCTAAGCAAAGGGTGCACTTTGGCTCCTCCAAGAACTTCAGTAGAATGGGAAAAGAGAAGATCAACTTAAAGACAGAATGGCTTATTGAAATAGAAGCAGTATTATTAAAATGTGGGTTCTCGGCCTATTCATTTTGGAAAAGAAGAGAAAACTTGTTTGGAAAGTCATAAGGATGTATCATACGACCTACAGATAAGGTTAACATGGAAGGTGGGTACTGTTTGTCAAGACCAGTGATCCCGAAGGCACATGGGAGACCATAAGCCTGTTTCTGCCACCACAGACCAAGTGTGCCAGAGTTAGTTTCCTGGCAGGTCATATGCTTTGGGGCTTAGGCTGCCCTAGGCTTGGCTCCATCAGACTTAGGGCTGTATGAGAAGCCACCCTCCTCCACGACCCGGTACAGGCAATATGCTTGGTGTCCATGGGATTCCATTTTTGCAATAGTCTATGGTATGTCACTGCCTCTATCTACAGTCCAAGAGATGTTCAGAGAATTCTGTGGCAGAACCCTAGGAAACCTCAACCACAGAGACAAGCCTACCATAGGGACCCCCACTAGGGGCGTTGGAACACCCCTGAGATCCCAGCAGTCAACTTGAGATGCCAGCCTGGGTTAGAACTTCACGGGGACAAGACCTTCCAAAGGGTTATGATGGCGGGGCTGCTTCAAGCACTGGGGCCCAACCACTGCTCAGCAAAGCTGCAGAAGCAATCCTCCCCACTGAGTCTGGAGGCAGAGGATGAACGTAAGGATCTTCCTAAGCATGAAGATTTGGGGATTATTTGGGAACTGTGACTGCTTGATTTTTTTTTTCCTCTTTTCTCTCTTTTGCAGTGAGAATACCCTCGGCCTGCCCCACCATTAGGTTTTGGAAGCACATAACGTTCGCTTTCATAAGCTCACAGCTGGAGAGCAATTTTCCTCGGGATGAATCATACCTTCATATCTGACTTAGATGATATTTAGATGAGACTTTAAAATTGATGATGGAACGGTTTAGACTCTGGGGTTACTCGGATAGAGTGAATATAATTTGCATTTGAGAAGGGCATGTGGTGGGGGTGGGGGTGGGGATAGCTGACTGTGATGCTGTGGTCTGAATATCTGTATGCCCTGTCTCTCAAACTTTGTATGTTGAAGTCTAATTCTCGAAATGATGGCATTATGAGATAGGGCCATTTGGGAAAGGGCTGTAACATGGATTTAGTTTCCTCATGAAAGACCTGTTTTGTTAACTTTTCCTGAGGATACTCAAACAAGAGCATGCTCACCATTGACAGTCCAAAATATGAGTTAACCCAAGTTCATCTTATCAAATCGATGAGTTTATCAGGTCGAGGGGTTGCTTACCAGAGTATGGTGACCCCAAGGCAGCTGCATCGCTGGCAGGTCTCACTCCAGCATAGATGATTACTTTCCCATGGCTACACGGTCCCCTCTTCAGTTAACCCTCCTCCCTCTGAAGACTACAGGACCTCTTGCAGACAATAAAGTCACATACAACTAGGCAGAAGTGCATCGAGCTGACAGGGATGTGCAGGGAATGGTTAATATTTAAGGTGAGACTCTGCTGCTCTCCCACTTCCTCTTTCTCTGAGGAAATGTCAGCAGGCTTGGTCTTGAGGGTTTCTTGAAGCAGTCATTTATAGGGACTCTAATCAACACGGCAATGTCTGTTAATGCTCATAGAACAACAGTCTACAGCGGTGCTCTTAAAGAAGTTAGCCAAGCATGGTTTTACACGCTTGTAATCCTAGCAACTTGGGAGACTGAGGCAGGAAGATGATGATTTGAATGACAACCTAGGCTACAAAGTGAGACTCTGCTTCAAAACATTTTTTTAATGAAAATGAGACTATCAAAATAGAGGAGCTTGTTTTCCCTTCTTCCACATGTGATTACAGCAAGGAGATGCCGTCAAAGAAGAACAGACCCATGTCAGATACCAAGTATGGCACCACCTTGATCCTGGACGTCTCAGCCTCCAGAACCAGCAGAAGAAAAATGAGCATTCTTTATGCCTCCCAGCTTAGGCTGTTATGGTTGCAGCTACCCATGTGGGTTAAGACAGGAGGTCATGGATGGCCTGTTCATTTCTCCTGCCTTCTTGGTCCCTGAAATGCTGTGTGACACATAGTAGAGGCTCAGTGACCCTTCCTAAAGAAGTGTGTGTGTGTGTGTGTGTGTGTGTGTGTGCGTGTGCGTATGGTGTGGTGTGGTGTGGTGTGTGTGTGTGTGTGTGTGTGTGTGGTGTGTGTGTGCGTGTGCGTGTGGTGTGGTGTGGTGTGGTGTGTGTGTGTGTGTGTGTGTGTGTGTGGTGTGTGTGTGTGTGTTTCCCAATCTGATGCTCTCATTGTTTGGGAGTTTCTGGACCTGTTCCACTGTTCCACTAAAAGCACAAGTCAGAAATAATCTGGGGCCCAATTTGACAAGCAATGTTCGGAATCTTCTAGAACAACTTAAGTAAGAGCTTTTATAAGCAGGAAAGGAATAAAAGAGAACTATAACCGGTCGTGTCCAGTTGGAAAAGACTCCATGTGAAACTCCTGGGTACCTAAAGCCTAGCCTGCCTTCCCTTCTTCCTTCTTTCCCTCCTTCCTTCCCTCTGTCCTTCCTTCCTTTTTTAGGTCATGTCAAAATTCAGGCTCTCTCATCAGGCGTCTGCCCAATGGGTTTGTGGAGATGCTTGAGATTCAGCCACTCACTGTTTCTTTGGATTTGATGAAGCCACTGTTAGAAAGTGAGTGAGCAAAGAGTACGCATTCGACCGCTGCTAGCTAACACTGCTCTAGAAGATTCCATCAGGCTGCAGCAGGCAGGCGCCTGCGACACAGGAACATTAGCAGCCAAATTTCTTTGATCGTGGGAGGAGCCCAGATCACAGCACACTGCCAAAAAAGAGCCAGGCAGAGAAAGGAGAGAAGGGACACACACCAGCACAGTCCAAAGGCAAGCTAGGACAGTGGGGACAAAAGGCAGGGAGGAGCAAGAAGTCTGGTGGCAAGGACCGCCACTTCATAGATGTTTCAGGTGCTAGAGAAATGTTTGCTCAAGAATCAGTGCATTGGGATAGTTACTGATTTTAGTTATTTAGTAAATATATCGTTTACTGTGTGTCAGGCCCCACTAAGGCTAAGCACTTAGCAAATATGAACTTGAACTTAGCCAGATTGCTGCCCTTATCGCAAGTCAGAGTTTAAAAACCAGCTCTGCCATTTTCTGGCTGTGTGACCTTGGCCAGTACTTTGTGCCTTGTGGGGCCCATTTGCCAGCTATAAGGAGACAGAAGGGCTGAGGTTTTTTACCGGCTAAGAGCCATCAAGGCAGTTTGTGGACTTTGAAATGTTTTACAAATTATCACTGATGTCAGAATGAAGCCTAGGACTGGTCCAGCTTCTAGAGAAAGTAGTTTTAGAAGAAAAATGTCATCTTTTCCAACTCGTAATCGCGCCGCTACCATCACTTCCGTACCTTGTGGGTTCTGGAGTTGGATGGTCTCGTTCAAGCCCTGGTTCCAAACCCATTAGCTCCATGACTTCAGGCAAGCCTCTTAATCTCCCTGTGACTCGGCTTTCTCCTCTAGAAACCCAGGGCTAATAATAGATCTTCTCCATTGGGTTGAGGCGAAACTTTTAGAAGAGAATGGAAATAAAGTACTTAGGACAGTGACCCAGAATAAATGCACTGTAAATGGGGCACCTCTCTGATCTTTTAAGCCCCACCATGGTACAAAGTAGGGATAATTATTGTGATTATCTGCACTTTCAAGGAGAAAGCAGAAGGCCAGAAAGGTTTGGGTAACTTTCCCAACTGCGCATACCTAGGGGCTGATGGAGCCAGGATTCCTAGACAGGTCTGTCTGCCTTGGGCAATTTTGTGGTTGCTAAGCAAATGTTCTCATTGTCCATAATGGCATGCCAGAAGCACACAAGATAAACCTTGAGCCAAAGAAAAAGAGTCAAAAAGTTGGAAAAGGAAGAGAGGTGACAAGGACCTTACTTCTCTTTAAGTACTAAGTTAATGCAACGGGGAACCGCAAAACCTTTAATAAGAAGAAGAGAAGCTCCCAGAAACCACCTGGTTCCTCCTCCTGCCCTGGCAGCATGATGAACCAAGCTTGCTTGCCTTCCTCCTGGGCCATGACCCATGTCATGACCCTTGTGATCAGACAGACTAGAATTGTAGCCAATGGGGTGTATGTGGGAGGACAAGGACCTCCCCCAGATCAGGCCTGCCCTCTTCTCCTCCCTGCTAAACTATCCATGCATTCGAATGTGGAGCCAAAGAATCACAAATAAGAAAGGTTGGAGATGCAAGATGAGAGAGCTATTCAGGCACCGGAGCGACCTCCTAGACTTTACATGAGGAAAAGTAACTCTCTCCCAAGACTGAGTCATCACAGAATTGAGGCTGGTTTGTCACCAAAACTAGAATAAATTTGTCAATATTTGCCAGTCCAGGGCATGGGTAGGGTTTCTGACTATTTCCCAGCTGACTTCTGCTTTAATCTTCCACTTGTAATGAACTCGTTTCCTCCCAGAGTAGCTCATTCGCCTATTCCTCCCGTGCTCTATGAACACGTGCTAAGCTCCTCCCCGGTGCCCTGCACTGTGCTGGGCATGGAAAGGAAGCCGTGAGGACCAGGAGGAACGTCGAGACTTCCTGTCCCCACCAGGGTCATCTTTCACGCAGGCTGCTGAGTGACAAACAAGTAAGCAGGCAGAGAGAATGATATTTATAGACTTTGATAAGCAATTTGCAAGAAAGAAACAGACTTTGGAGGCAAAATGCCAGGAAGGAGGATCACCTTTAGATGGGGGTTGGGGGGTAAATGGAAAGCTGGCACTGAGGAGGTGACTAAAGTCCAAGCCACCATGGGGGACAGCCCTGGCAGACTCTGTGTGTGTGTGCGTGTGTGTGTGTGTGTGTGTGTGTGTGTGTGTGTGTGTGTGGCACACATGCGCGTGCACTAGGACAACTATTATCTTTAGCCTTATCCCCTGGTCTTAACTGCATATTCGGGTCCAGGAAAGTCTGTTGCTTCCTTTTTGAAATGACAGCACCCACACTTGCACACAGCTGTCTTGTCTCCACCTTCACCCAAAACTCCTATCCCCAACTTTCAGAAGCAACCCCCGACCAGAACCCAGAGGCGCAGATGTTGGCAGCAGGTGCTGGATATCGTCAGCAGCTTGCTTGCAGGGAGGATTCAGGTGAATGAGGAGGCCCCGCAGACTCCACGCTGCGGGCACAACTGGGATCTCGGGGGTCCCACCCCCAACACTTTACTTTTTTATTTCCCAGGGCAGCTAGTTGCCGGCTTCTCTCAGGTATTCTAGTATTGGGAGGGAGTGGACAAGGTTAAGAGCCTTCAAGGGCTCCCACTGGGCGCCTTTTTTCTCTCTCTCTCCTGAGGACAATTTCTTTTTTCAGGCTTAGAACTATGCCCCCACCCTGTTTGGACACCAAAACAAACCCAGCTGTCCCCAAGGCTGGACCGAAAGCACAGGAGTCTGGCAGGTGAGCCAAGGAGCCAGCAGGGAGAGTCACTCAGAGGCTTGCTCCTCTGGATCTCTGCTCTGTTCTGCTCTGCTCTGAGGTAAGGAGGCTGCTTGCCGAAGGCCTGGCACTAGTCTCATTAGGATCACTCAGGGCAGCACCTCAAGGACAGTAAATCTGCCCTCTTCACCAGCAGGCTCCTGGGCAGTAGAGCCCAGTTCTGCACACCTGAGTCCTCGTCCTCTGAAATGAGCTGATACCCACATCTTGCCCATCCTATTGTTCTGGGGCTCTGGGACAGTTATGGGACGTCAAGCCCCAAAGCTAGACAGCATGGTTCAACTCTTTCTGTGCTTCATCATCTGTGGATAAAAACAGGCTGCTCCTGTCTTTCTCACCCTTGCCCTGAGATCCGCGGGGCAGGACTTAGGAAAGCCATCCAGAGGGTGTGGCAGGGAAGCAAACCATAGGAACAGAACACTGTGTGCCCGGCTCCCTCCCGGGGAAGTCAGAAGAGAATTACACAGCCTTGAGCTGTCCTTCAGTGGCCTTCCCAGGACGACCTTTACCTTCTGGGTGTGTCTCCCAACCTTAACTAACTAGTAGCTTTGGAGGCCCTCTTCCCTCCCGTGACCACTCCTTGATTCTGGGTAGGGAGCCCAGAAAGCCTAGGGAAGTGCCTCGGCAAGATGTCAGCTGAACCCCACTCTCTGAGTGGTGCTAGGTTAGGATCAGTCATGACAGGGAGCCCCTCAACCATTTCACTCACCTTCCACTACTACTGTTCCTACACAAGATCCACCCTATCTGCATTTGCAAGCAGTTCCCTGGGGGAAGCATTCAGACCAAATCATTAGGAAAGGTCTATAAGTGGCTTCATACCTTTATGTAATACAACAGAGCTTTGGTTGAGGTTTAATTTTCGGCCAGAGAGTACTTTTAGTTTTGCTTATATTTAAAACTCAGAAGAGTTCAAATGAAAACAAAGCCGTATTTCTGGCTTCCATAAAAAACATAGTCGTGGTCCCTGTGGACTAAGGTAGAAGGCACTGGCTGCTGTTTTGGGCCCTGGGGACATGGCCTGTGCCTCCAGGCCACACTCCTACCTATGACAGTGACAGGGCACCATTTCTTTTCCTTCCCTGCTGGTCTCTGTAGGAATCCCGGGTCACAGCCTTTGGTTTCAAAATCCAATTACATCCTAGCAGAGAGTAACTTGGCCCTATGTTGCAAGTCCATGTGTCAAACTGTGCAAGACAGGTCAAACTGTGAGAAGGGGTGGGTGGAAGGGAGTTTGGGCTCTTGTGGTATGTGTAAAACCAAACCATAGAAGCGTGTTTCTCTTGCACAGTTGGGGGCACAAGGGTTGTGAACTGCGGTTTGCCGATGCAGACATGTTACATGACAGTACGGGAAGAGTGGCTGGGACAGAGGGACTAACACTGAGACGGAAGAAGCATGAACTCGGGGTCAGCAGGCACACATGGGCCTCCTAAGCCTGCTTCTATTGGGTGATGCTTCAGCTACAGATTTAGATTCTTTTCTTAGTGATCAGAGTCGGGTGGGAGATCTCCCTTCCAGCCTGAACTCTCTGAAATTTAAAGCTTACTATTCTTAGGTGAAATTATTCTGGCAAAAGAGAGTCTCAGAATGTTACTCGGACCTGGCTAGAAGAGCAATTGAGTGAAGGCATGAAGCTCTGTCTCCTTGCTAGCATGAATTTCCCGACTCTTGCAGGTCTTCCCTTCTCCTTTCATAATTCCTTCGGTGCTGTTGAGAATAAACACTCAGAGGTGTTCAACAATAGCCAGACTCAACAATATCCTGCCTTAACAATCACTCCTCCACTCGAGAATTCAGCCAGTGTGAAATCTACTTTGCTAAAGACTGTATCACTTTACTCTCCCAAAGATGCTGGAGAAGAAAACCCTATGCTTCTACTGTGCTGTCAGTCAAAAGAGATGCAGACAGGTGACCAACTAATAGACAGACATCATGGGTACAGCTTGGTCCTCAAAGGACATTAGAGTATAGCAGGAAGTTTCACACCATGCTGAAGGAACCCAGAACAGGCCCTAGTAAGACAAAGATATATTAGTTATAATGTGTTATGGGGAATTAAAACAAATGAAACGGGACGGAAAGGTGGTTCAGCAGGTCAAGGTCCTTATCACCAAGCCTTGACAACTTTAATTGAGTTCAATTCCCACGACCCACATGGTGGAAGGAGAGAACTGACTCCGGCGAGTTGTCCACTGACCTCCACATGCCTGTGCACATACATACACACAGGAAGGGCTGGAGACATGGCTCAGTGATTAAGAGCCCTTGATGATCTTCCAGAGACAGGGGTTCCATTCCCACCCACATAGCGGCTAACAACCATTTGTAACTCCAGTTCCAGGAGAGCCAACAGCTTCTTCTGTCCTCCATGTGCACTGCATGCACATGGTACAGAGATGTACTGCAGGCAAAATACGCATGCACATAAAATAAGAATTTAAAAAAAATGTTAATGTGTTAGATAAAGAAACACAGTCTTTATTACAAGAAAGAAGTCACATGAAGAGGTGGGGTTTGGGCCGGTAGACAGGACGAATGAGGATTCAGCAGCACGAGTGAGCAGGAAGCAACACCATCTCACGCTGTCCATGTGCTCGCCAAGGAGTATGACAGCTTCCCATGGCCTGTCGCTGCACTCGAACTGGGATACAGGAGGTAATGATATAGGCAGGAGCTCTGGCTCTCTTGTTAATGGTTCACAGGGATGAGTACACACAACATTTTCATCTGCCAAGCATTCAGAGGAATATTAAATGAGGTTGTTGTCATGGACAGTGTGCTGCCTAGTTTTATGTCAACTTAACACAAGTCATTTGGGAAAGAGGGACTCCAGTGGAGAGTATGTACCCACCCAACAGGCCTGTGGGTAAGTCTGGGGTTTACTTTCTTGATTGACGGTTGATGTGGGAGGGCCCAGCTCACTATGGGTAGAACCATTCCTGGGCTGGTGATTGTGGATGCTATGAAAAACAGGTTGGAAAGGCCATGGGGAGCAAGCCAGGAAAGAGCTCTCCTTCACAGCCTTTGCATCAGTTCCTACCTTGAGTTCTTGCCCTGATTTCCCTGGATAATGGACTAAAAGCTGAAAAGTGAAAAAAAAATCCTTTCCTCCCCCAAGTAACAGTAGAAATCCTAAGACAGGAGGTGACTAAACTATGGTCAGGGTAAATCTTCATGAGGAGGAAGTTCAATTGATCTGAGTCATGGCATGGAGAAAAACAATGTCATGATTGGGGGCAGAAGTGTAAAGGTACTGAGTTTGTAACATGAGGGGGCCTGCTTGTTGGGCTTTTATGTCCTGCCCGGTACCCCAAAGCTAGCAAGCCCCAAAGAAAATCACACAGAGATCTCCATAAGTTATAATCCTGATTGGCCCATTAGCTCAGGCTTCTTATTAACTCTTATGACTTATATTAACCCATTGTTCTTATTTATGTTAGCAACATGGCTTGGTACCTTTCTCATCCAGGCAGATTATATCTTGCTTCTTCCGTGGTCTGCACAGGACTGGGAGGAATCAGCTTCCTCCTTCCCAGAATTCTCCTGTTCTCATTGCATCACCTCTACTTCCTATCTGGTTTTCCCATCTATACTTCCTGCCTGGTCAATCAGCGCTTATTTAAAACATAATTGACAGAATACAGACAATTCTCCCGCACCAAAATTCATAATGCATTTACAGGACTGAGAATGAGAGAACAATTTAGAGATAAATCTTGGAACATAAGCAGGAGCTACATCGCCTGCAGTATTAGTAGGTGAATGCCATCCAACTGAGCATGAGAAGTCAATGGACATAAGCAAATCAGTAACTTTCAAAGATTCTCTCACTCTCTCATTTATAAAAAGGTACAAATACAAATAGGGAGATGTATTTCTCTGTTTCAGTGTCCATAATAAAATACCATAGACAGAGAGTCTTAAACAACAGAAACATATATCTCATGGTTCTGGAGAAGACAGCCAAGATTAAGGTGTTGGTAGGTTCCGCTGCTGGGGAGGGTTCTCTTTCTGGCTTACACAAGGTTCCTTCTTGCTGAGCCCTTAGATGGCCTTTCCTCACCATATGGGTTCAGAGAACAGCTCCCTCCCACTCTCTCCATAAACATCACCCATCCTATTAGATTAGAGCCCCACCCTTTTATCCTAACTCAATCCTGAGAGCATCCTAAAACACCATCTCCAAATACAGTCAGTGTGGGTGTTATGACTTCATAATATTAACTGGAGATGGAGACCAAGGATATGTGTAAGTTAGTGTTCAGCTAATCAGTTAAGATGACTAACAGGTAACCTCACAAGATTTCACCCAGGAATCTCGAAGAACCAGATGATGAAACAGGTTTGACCTTGACGATAGGCTGTTATCTCACACAGTTATGTTTATATCTGTTTTATCATTTGGATACTCATAATCTCTGGGAAATGAAAAGAAACTTCTCTATCCATGTCCAGGCTCTGTGTCCCTTTGCTACAAAAGATAGAGTGGGCCAAATACACTGAGTTTCTGTAAATTCCTTGGTCTTACTGTAATAGCTCTTACAGCTATGTAACAACATATATATTGTATATAAATAAGGAGCTATATAACTCTGCTCCAGTGTTCATAATAAAATACCATAGACTGAGTGTCTTAAACAACAGACACACCTATCCCTTGGTTCTGGAGGCAAGACTGAGAGGTCACAGCCCTGTACACTCAGGACAAGACAGGGGCACTATGGGTTAAATGATACTGTTGCTCAAACTACTTGCTACCATTTTCTCTCCCCTCTAGCGCTAATACTGGGTGCTCTCCCCACTGTGAATGGAGCACTCTGTCACCAGAAAGCTCGCTGACGAAACTTTCATATCTTTCAAGTTAAGACTAGAGGGTCAGACAAGGTGACTCACATTTGCATGTCCATCACTTAGGAAGCAGAGACAGAAGTTATCACGAATTCAAGGATATTTTACCTACCCTGTGAGTTCAAGGCCAACCAACCTGGGCTGCATAAGATCTACCTCAAACAACAACAAAAAATAAGACTTGTTCTT